TTGAGGTAGTAGGAGGAATGCAGGAAAGTGGAAAGTAGAGTCGAAGAGAAAATGGAAAATTTCAGTAGACCAGGATTGCAAAGAAATTTAGATACCCGAGTGTCACTGTTTACGACATTCAGCCATGTCACTCAATGTCTCTAACCACCGGCTACGATGATCTCGGGATCCCCATCCAGGAAAGCCTAACGGGACCTGTTTGACCGAATCCCTTCTTTAGAGTTTTCATACCCTCGTGTCAGGTCAAATTCTGACCACCCTTGGCTTTATTCCACCGACTACCTGCCTCAGCAAACATCGCTTGCCGTGACAATCCATTTGGTGACATGCGAAACACATGCCCCAACCAACGCAGTCTATCCAGGTTGAAAACCTGCTCTAATGGATCACCGCGATTACCTAAAACTCTGCATCTAACCTGGACATTGCTCGTCCGATTGCCACCCCCCCCCCCCGCACACACACACCAGATTCGTGCAGTGCTGCTTAAACAGCGGTTTTCGAACACTGGCAGTCTGCCTTCATCCTGTTTTCATAATGGCCAAGTCTCTGTATCGTAAAGCAACCCTGGCCGAACTGCAGGATCATATACTCGAACTTTCACGGACAGCCGGGTCTCACGATGATGCCACAGATGTCAACTTGGCAAATGCCAATCGAGCCTTTTGTATGCGAGCTGTGAGATTTAGCGCCCCAAGTAGCAAAATCCTATTTCTTCCCCAGTTAGAGTGAGGTTGGGAGCTGATCCAACCCAGTCTTGCGGGAAAGCTTTTTGCTTTAAAAATGCAGAACACATGCTGTACATGGCTACACTAGCAAATAAACAGTCCATAACAGCTTGTAACTTACCTGGATCTTCCCTTAGCAGTACAGTGTCGTCTGATTGACTTGACTCCATTTTTTATTGATTTTCCGCGAATTGGTTTTTACGGGCGAATACTGTCGGGCACTAAATGATTTCATACGAAATTAGTCCCTAATCTTCTAAAACCTCATAATGGACCATCATTCCCAGTTCGAACCAGAAATCGAGGATTTTGTTCGATCGGTAAAACGACGACTTTCTGGTGTTTTTTCCTGTCGCCCGAACCGATAAGTCAAACACTTAAAGGCGTAAAGCGGAAGAGCTTGACCACTTTAAGTGATTACACTCAAGGACATAGCAATGTTCTGCCTGTGAGCCTCAAACACCTTGTACGTTAACCGTTCTCGTCTCACTTCGGGAGAGCTCATGTTTCTCATACCGACCTTGGAAAACGGAACGGAGGTAGAAAACATGCTTCGATCCAGTTACGTTGTTAGATAAAGTTCCTGTCATGAAAAAATCCTCCTGATCTTGAAAGTATCGTCAAGCTCATTGTGGGAAACTGAAAACACAAGAGTCATTCTCGTCCACTGAATCTCGCATTCGAACGATCCAGAGGCATCCAAAATTAAGCAGAACGACACCAAAGAACTATTACTTATGTTGGATATATTTGGATGTCGCAAGAATTTCACGACGTCATTTGATCCTTTTTTGTTCACCAAGCGATTTAGAGTCAGTGAACATGGCTCTTAATATACCAGGAATGACCACCACCGTTTTGCATTACTGGTAAGAAAGAAAGAGAAAAAGGACATCAGAACTGCGTCTGAGACCCCTTAAGGAGACCGAGACTCCAAAGCAACTCTTTCACTATCACCACTTTGCACAATCGGTTGATCGCATTGTCAGAGCTTCCTCACTAAAAACGGAGGTTAGCTGATCATCAAGAGTCCGGCATAAATGCAGCTCCTTACCCAAAGGGATTTCTATGTTGACAGTACTTGACCTATTACCAAGCCAATGCTGAAGGATTCCTCGGCGAATTTTTCTTACTCAAATGGTGTTTCCAAGATGGTCGGTTGAGTATCGTCGAGCGGTGGCAGAAAGGTGCTTCCTAATATTGGTTTCGCTCTGTTTTTCCTTTTACGTCTAAGTAAATACGATTGTTCTACATGTATTTTATTCCATTTTTTATTTTCACACATGTCTGAATCCAGACTGTCTGCCAAACAATAATCTTTATTAAAAGTAAAGCATTCCATGATTGGCTAGTGGGCGGAATACCGCCAGGTTGCTCAGGCCAAGGCAGGTGAATTTTCTTGAGGAATCCACAACCGGAGCCTTCGGCTGGCCGAAGTCTGATCCGCATGGCAGCGGGGCGGTGTGAGAACCGCAGTCCATTGGGAGCCGGTGTCCAGTTCATCAGATCATACGCTCTTTGGACGGAGTCAAACGTCCAAGGTGCCCAATACACCTCGATGCCCAATCGAGCCGGTGACCACTGTCACAACCGAAAAGGTGTGAATGGGATTGGTACGCCTCCTCTTGGTTAGTTTGGAATCAGGGATTTTGGTCAACTTCCCTAGTTGGACTATCAGTGGTTCACCGACCCGGTTCTAGCCCCGGATATCGGCTTTTTGTCCTCTCACTTTTGTGGGAAAACACCTCCGCCACGTGAAGGCAGTGAGTATGGCTTTCTCAGCGGAGGCTATTTGTGACGCTTGGTTGTATGGGAGCATTTTGTGAGGTGAAAGGGAAGGGTGGCCAGCGACAACCTGAGATATCTACTCCCGACCGTACTGAGGCTTTTGGAGGCCATGTGCCGATGGTGTTCTGGTTTTATATTTTATTTTCGTGTTCATCTTCATTGCGATGTAATTCGTCGTCTTGTTTCGGTTACTGACACAAGTCAAGTCAAGGAATCGTTCTATACACCTCGGAGGGTGAATATTCAGCAATCACAACCACAATACGTCAATAATTAAAAAAATCGAAATGTTATACCGCAATTAAAAGAAGTGAAACGTACAGCAACATCAAAATAAATAGTGGCCTACCCGGGCGCTTATGATTGGTTTAGTTTAGCTTTTTGCGCAAGTTTTCTGCAGCGAGATCATGGTTTGTAAGAAATCCCGAGAGATACGGGACAATAGTGCGTCTGTAAGTCTCAGTACATGCCTTTATGAGTGGAACGGATGGATGCGTAAGAAAGGCACTGACTAAGAGCAGAATAACGGGGATGAGAAATGTCAGATAAAATCTTGTTGGAGAACTTTTTACAGGACTTGAGATGTTATGTCGTCACACTGTACCAGATGTTTCCATGGTATAAAGCTAAATACTGACAGAAATTTGAGGGATCAGGAAATGAGTTTGAGGTCCTTGTTTAAACGACCGGGGGAGATAACAGGAGACCCATAAAGACAGTGAGGCAAAACACAAGCAAAGCCGAAACCCCTTATGAGATGATTTGGGAAAGAAAGTGATTTGAGACGTGAAACATAGAACGATAGTCCTCTGACCTACAGAAAAATGTCATTGACACTTCTCTGTGTGTGTAGATTCTGACCATCCAAGCTCCATTATTGTTTGATTGACGCAATCTGTTGTCCTCTGTCGGCCCTGGAGTCGGCCAGAAAAATAACTTTCCCAGAATCCGTTGAACATGCGGTTGTTCACATACATCGGGCATTGTTGATGATCTTGAGTGTGAGTTTCACTCCTCCGTAGATTGTTACGTCCTAACCAGTCACTTAAGTGCATACTCCCAAAATGGGACTGGAATACGCGCAGCAATCTTCTGCCTGCGTTTGTGAGTAAATCGAACGATAAAAAATGGATTTGAATCTTTGATCAAAGTACCCTCTCATTGGAGCCGTATTTTTTGCTCCGTTTAGAAAGTATTTTCGCATTTAGACAGCTGACTTTGGTCACATGATGGTGGCTGTGGAGAGAGAGGAAGTGATTCATTCTCATCCTATGTATCATCTTGATTTCTTAATACGATACTCGGGTGGGAGAATTTATTTTCGATCCATGTGGTTTGATATTATTTTCATCGTTGCTTATCTCCTGTTATGATCGAAGGATAACATAGCTTTTTTGTGTCATGTATCTGTTGAACTGTTGAAGTGAGCTGCCGATACGCTTACTTTCGTTCAAGTCAAACCAAGCATTTACTTTTGTTCGGCTAACCCGTTGCGGAGGATAAGCTGGCTTCGTGACGATCATGAAGTTTCTTAGTGGCTCCGTACCGATGTTCCTAGCGTCACTCGAATTTTCCTTACGAGAGCTCACCCGTAACCTTTGTTCTGTGAAGTGTGAACCGCACTACAGCAGTGTCATGGGGCTTGGTCGCCAGCGCCTCTCGCTTGGAGCTCAAGTGACATTCGATAAACGAGAAGGCAACCCAGGAATTTGTACTTGGTAGCTAGTTGAATAGATTCCCTGTTTAACGTAGTCTTTTTCCAGCTGAGAAGTGTCACTCTTATCAAGTGCTTATATGTTCCTGTTCTGTCTGCTTGGTGTGAGAGAGACAGGAGTGTTTTATTCTTTCTTGGCTGTTTCTAGAGATGCGGACAAGGTAGTGCGCCGGTGGTCCTTTGGCGCGAAGCAGCCGTTGTATTGATGTATTTCATTGTGAGCGGAATACTGCAGCTGTTATAGGAAGACGTGGTGGAGTCAATACCTGTATCTAAAATATAATGCTCCCACGGCCTGCAACTGTTCATTGTTGCGCATGCTGTTCAACCAGACATACGAAATCGTTACATGCGGTAAACAGTTGAAGAAGAAATAGTGAATCTTTATCAAAGTTTGCTGGGCAATCCCGTATAACGCTTGTTTATAATTCACACAAAATGCCTGATGATGTGGGAAAGAAGTGCTTTCGTCTTGATTATCCTGCCTAATTTCTGTCCCCAATGGTCTCTAAAGGTCGCTTTATGATCACATATATCGTCTCATCACCGGCACTAAATCTAGTTGGATTTACAGAGATATTTTGCAAAACCAAGGAATCTCAGGCATCATATGTTAACCTGTAAACCAAATTCAATAAACTGTACTAATAGCTCCCTCTAACTGACTATGATGCGTTCGACTCGACTAACCCTTCACCCCCCCCCCCCCTG